TGACGGGATGCCTCCCGGGCCGAACCGCTGCCTGACGGCTCATTCCTAGCTGCTGGGCTTGGGCTTGCTCAGGAGCTGAGGACCCACAAGGCATCTGTCTCTGGATTCAAGGGGTGGGTGTGCCGCCCGCCCTTGCGCTGTGCAGTCCCCTCCCAGAGGGACAGAGGGGCGGCCCCTGCTAACGGAGCAAGCTGCCCACCCATGCTGCCTCCTCGGTTTACAGTGGAGCCTTCCTCCCCTTGTTGGCACCTTTGTCGAATGGGAAGGGCAAGGGGAGAAGACAGAATCAGTAAACAAACCAGGGCCTGGTTTCTCCTGATGAAAGCCCTCAGGAGGGCTCACTCCAGCAAGACCCTGCAGGCTGCTGGGCCTTCACGGGTCCAGGGCTGAGCTGTGGGACCTTCATGGGCACAGGGCCGGGCTGCGGGGCCTTCACAGGCGCCAGCTCGGTCTGCTCAGTTGCCAACTCAAATGCCCAAGGCTTGGGAGAACTTAGAGCAGCGGTTCTCAACCTGTGGGTCGCGACCCCTTTGGCGGTCGAACGACCCTTTCACAGGGGTCGCCTAAGACCATCCTGCATATCAGATATTTACATTACGATTCATAACAGTAGCAACATTACAGTTATGAAGTAGCAACGAAAATAATTTTATGGTTGGGTCACAACATGAGGAACTGTATTTAAAGGGCCAGAAGGTTGAGAACCACTGACTTAGAGGAACTGTACAGGAACTGAGAAATACAAAAAGAAGGCTGAGGTACAGTCAAGGCAGGAAAGAATCTTCCAGAAATGCACCTTCAAAAGCTGAGGTGGAAAACGATCTTGTTTATATTGTTTGCTGTGAAATGCAATGTGGAGAGAAACCAAGATGGCAGCATAGGTAAATTTCAGTACTCCCACAACCACATCAAAATTACAACTAAAATACAGAACAACCATCAGTCAGAACCGCCTGAAAGCTGGTGGAATGGAAGTCCTACAACTAGAGAAGTAAAGAAGAAAGCACACTGAGACTGGTAGGAGGGCGGAGGCGCGGACCGGGCTGTCTGACACCACAAGGTGCTGTTTTTTAAATCAGGAGGGAGATCACCTCTGTGGAGGCTGCCCGTGAGGAGCAAGAGGTCCCAGCCCCATAACAGACCCTCAGCCCAGGGTCCCAGAGCTGGGAAGAGAAGTCCCCCAACTACGGCTGTAAAAACCAGCAGGGATTGTGGCTGAGTGACACACAGGCTGATGGAGATCCAAGTGTTCCTTTTAAAGGGCCAGTGCATGAACTTATTAGGACTCCTAGCACCAGGTAGCAGCTTTAGGGGATCCAGACACATACGGGGAGGAACTGGACTGTCTGGCATTGGGCAGGAACTAGAGGACAGCTTCCTCACGGGGGTCACTGTCCCTGCGCTGAGACCTCCCCATCTGCAGGGCTGACTGGCAGCCATATCTGAGTCTCCGTCAGCCTGGAGCACACTGAGCTTCACCCTGAGACCCCGCCCCATCCCATTTGCAGCCCCACCCAAGCTGTTTGCAGCAGCTTTTCTATAAATGGCCTGTCCTGGCTCAGGCTTCAGACTTTGCTAAAATCTCTCAAACAAGCTGCAGCTGGTGTCAGCATGCCCCAAGCCTATCAATAAAAGGCCCAAGACCTGGCACCAGCAACAGCCTGCCTTGCTTCACAGCTGGGTCTTGCCTGGGTACCTCCAAGCCCAATACAAATAGCAAATAGCAGCCGTCTGCAGATCCCTCTGTAGCTCCTGCCAGGTGGCTCTAGGCAGTGGCTGACTTTTCACCTCCCTGGAAGCCCGAGCCAGTGCACCCAGTGGACAGTTTCAGACCATAGCAGATTACAACTCTACACATCCATAAGCAACACACTCAAGAGGCAGACTCAGCACCAAAGCCCCACTGAAGCAAGTCCTGCTCCATAGGGATATTTCCTGCACAGCAGCTCTCCCACTGCAGTAGAAGTTGGTCCTCACAGCCAATTGGCATGGAAGTCAACTCCTCCTAGTGATGCCAATAGCAGTCAAGGCTCAACTACAAGACTTTGCACACAGCCCACAAAGGGGTGCACCTAGAGTGCCCAGCTGTGGTGATTGGGGAGGCTGAGCTACTGGGTCCTACGGGACACCTACAATACAAGGCCACTCTACCAATTCCAGTAGACATAGCAGCTCTACCTAATACATGGAAATAAACACAAGGAAGCAGCCAAAATGCAAAGACAAAGACACATGTCACAAATGAAGGAAATGGAAGCAAGCAAACTACTGGATACAGAGTTCAACACCATGGTTATAAGGTTACTCAAGGAAAGTCATGAGACTTTCAAGGATTTTAGTGAGAATGTCAAAGACATGAAAAAGTTTCAGTAAGAAATTAAGCATACAATAACTGAAACAAATTTACAGGGATCCTACAGTAGAGGATTCATAGAATCAAATCAATGATGTAGAATATGAGGATGCAAAAAACACCCAATGAAAAAAGCAAAAATAAAAATACAAAAATGTGAAGATACTGTAAGGAGCCTCAGGGACAACTTCAAGCATACCAACACTCGCATTATGGGGGTGCTGGAAGGAGAAGAGAGAGAGCAAGATATTGAAAACCTATTTGAAGAAATAATGACAGAAAACTTCTCCTACCTGGTGAAAGAAATAGACTTACAAGTCCAGGAAGCATAGAGAGTCCCAAATAAGAGGAACTCAAAGAGGCCCACACCAAGACACATCATAATTAAAATGCCAAGGGTTAAACACAAAGGGAGAATCTTAAAAGCAGTAAGAGAAAAGCAGTTAGTTGCCTACAAGGGATCACCCATATGACTGTCAGCTGATTTCTCAACAGAAACTTTGCAGGCCAGAAGCAAGTGGCAAGAGATATTCAAAGTGATGAAAAGCAAGGACCTACAACCAAGACTAGGCTACACAGGAAAGCTATCAGTTAGAATTGAAGGTTAAAGAGCTTCACAGACAAGAAAAAGCTAAAGGAGATCACCACCACCAAACTGGTATTACGTTAAATGTTGAAGGGTCTTCTTGAAAAGGTGGAGGGGGAGGAGAAAGAGGAGGAGGAGGAGGAAGAGGAGGAGGAGTAGTTGGAGGAGGAAAGGGAAGAGATAAAAAATGGCAACAAATACCGGTCAACAATTGAACTTAAAGATAAATGAACAAGAAATCTAGTGAACAAAATAAACTGGTGAATAAAATAGAATCAGAGGCATGGAACAGACTGACGAATCTCAGAGAAGAGGGGATGGGGATGGGAAGAGATTAACCACAGATCTTACCTGTGGACACAGACAGTAGGGTGGTGAAGGCCTGGGGCAGGGCGGGAACTGGGTGGAGGGGGGCAAAAAGGGAAAAGGGGGGACATCTGTAATACTCTCAACAATAAAGATTAAAAAATACAGTGTGAATAGGTGTCCACGTGAAAGCACCCCCCAGAGGGAGGCCAGTTCCAGGGGGTGCCCCTTTGTGGTGACCACACTGGCCCACAGAGGCTGGTCACAGCCTTCATGGCAGAGTCCACACCAGAGGCGTGTGAAAGTGATGATGATGATGATGGCAGTTGTGATAAAATATTTTAACAGTACACCTTTCATACTGTAACAAAAGGAAGGCTCAGGTCAAAAGTTACTGGGATTTTCCAGATCTTCACGTGGATCCATCTACCGAAACAAGTATTTACTCTGAAAGTTCAACCTCTATCGAATCCAAAAAAAATTGACTCATACTGTTCCTTTCATGGAGTCTCGAGAAAAGCATTTGGGGAGCCTCATGCGGGAAGATGAGGTTGAGTGGTAAGGGTCATCGAGGTGGAGAGAGAAGGCTGCCCCTGGGTTCCCACTGCGTCATCTCCATCCTTCCTGCTGTGGAAAAAGTCTATCTTGTTTTCATCAAGACCAGAATAGGGCCAATGACCAGACATTTGCACCACTGGTTCAGTCCATGTCCTGTCCTGACCTGGCTGGCTTGCTCTGTTCCTGGCTGGCGCTGTGCTCGGGCCCCCAGGCAGCTGCTAGGGCCACATGGTTGCTATGGAGAGAACAAGCAAACCAAAGGGGCCAATGCCTGTTACCAGGAGGGTGGAGTGGGGGGAGAGCGAGAAAGGGGGAGGGAAGATGCTCTTTTGTTAGCTGGGATTATATTATCTTGGGTTTGGGAAAGACCAGGAGCTTTTTCAAAATAACCAATCAACTTTTCAAGCTTTCCTGGGCTTGCACTAGGCCAGTGATGGCGAACCTTTTGAGCTCGGCGTGTCAGCATTTTGAAAAACCCTAACTTAACTCTGGTGCCGTGTCACATATAGAAATTTTTTGATATTTGCAACCATAGTAAAACAAAGACTTATATTTTTGATATTTATTTTATATATTTAAATGCCATTTAACAAAGAAAAATCAACCAAAAAAATGAGTTCGCGTGTCATCTCTGACTTGCGTGTCATAGTTTCGCCATCACTGCACTAGGCCCACCCTCTAACCAATCTGCTTCCTAGATATTCTGGGGTTCTGTGTCCTCTATCCAATCCAATCCCTTTCCCAGGCTAGACGGACAGGCCTCTATGGTCGCGGTCCTGGCTCCCATGGCGCATGTGCTCACCTCCCCCACAGTCTGGGTGAGTGGGTGGGGAGATGGAAAAGCAGGTCCTTCCTCCCTATACCGGGGAGCGCGGGGTGTGCATCCCCCTTTGGGCCAGGCTGCGACCCCCTGGGGTGCCTACGAATGCAGCAACTTCCTAGGGAGCAGGCTTATGCCACCTCACTGATTAGCCTGAATAATGTCAGGTTTCCTCTGCTCTCTCCCTTCATTAATACTTAGCCACTGATGCTAACAGCACCTCAAACAGGAGCCAAGCCTGAGGGAGCTTCAGAGATGACAATCTGCAAGTCACAGTGGACATAAAAGTCTTGACTCACTTGACACGCAGAAGATACAGAAAAGAGCATACAGTCGATACAAGTTAAGAATAAACCTGAAAAGAAACAATCTTTAACTGATGTGAAATAAATATTAACCTTGGGGTTACCAGTCCTTTATTAGAAATTTCCATTTCCAGTTCACTTAACAAGATAACTGCTGACACCCTTTCCTGGTGTCTCTGGAACTCGTTCTCGCCCTCCGGCAGCGTCTCTAGGCAACGGGGCTCTGAGGCAGCAGCGAGTGTTTAGCAACAGACTGGCTCCACGTGGTGGCCGGGCAGGGTCGCCCTCCACGGCAGGCGGCATGGACCAGTGGGCCCTGTCACTACTGGCTCCGTCCCCGCGGCTTGCTCACGGGGTGCCCAGGGGAACCTCTCCTTGCTAGAGAACTAGGAAAAGTGGCTTTATCTCAAATCCCTGTGGATTCAAAGGAACACCAATACCAATGACCTGAGACAGGGGCTAAATTACTTTCTAAACTGAACAGTGGTTCATGACCCATTTCTTGGTCCAAAGACTTTGAAACATTTAGATAATAGCTGTGCATTTTGTTTGATAAGGGAAAAAAGGAAATAAAAATTGGTTCTCCTATCCGAGCCTTTTCTCAGTGATTCTCTGACACCCAGCTGAGCTGGGTCAAGAGAATGCTAAAGGCGTAAACCCCAGTCATCAGTGAACAGACCTGACTGAGTCTGGGCGAAGGAGCCTGTCTCCTCCTTGTGTAGAATTCTCCTAGCAGGTCTTGCAGGGTAGTTCCGCTGATTGTTACTCCTCACAGAGGGCACCCTTGCCATAGAAACCCATCGCTGCATCCCTGGCCCCGCGCACCTGGGCCCACAGGGCGGTGCTCGGTCAACGGGCCTGCGCTGGACGTGTGCACAGCTCCGTAAGGAGCTCCCGGGCCAGTCGTCTCGATGCCGGGGCCTCCATGCAAAGACGATCCCATCTGTCCAAGGTCTGGTCAAGAAAGCCGATGGTCTCCCGGGCTGTCTCCTCAGTCTGCGCCATCTGAATGAGGACAAGAGGAGCCAAGTTAAACCCTTCCAGACACATCTCTGTCCAGTGAGCCAGCTGCACCGTCCTGCCAGAGGCTGCTCGTCCCTGTCAGCCGTTTCCGAGGGCACCAGCAGGGCTCCCCTGCCGGGGGGCTGGCCTGGGCGAGCAGCATTTCCGCAGACGCACCCTCTCCTGCCGAGGCCGCGGGCACTATGTTTCCTGGGATGCTGGGCGGAGGTGGTGGGGGTGCAGCTTTGGGGTGACTTGCTGTGGGGAGCAAAGGCACACCAGGAACTGGGGCTCGATTTGCTGCAAAGGCTCACTCACACTAGTATGAGAATCAGAAAATACTGCAAGGAAAACGCCACCTGTTTTCACAGGAACAGCTTCATAAACGGCCTTCCTGGCCAGCGACTGGACCCATTTGTTTTTCAAAGGCACCTAAGGTTTTAACACCTGATTCGTGAGAGAAGCAGGAATCGTGGGAATAGTTAGTTCTGCTAAATACGGCGTCAAGAGATTGAGTTGTTGGTGCCCAAAAGTGTTTTCCCAAGAATGTCACTTCAGCAAAAAAGGGCAGGGCAAGAATCTTACAATTTAGCTGCATAAAGAGTTTACTGTGGCTTTTTAGATACAAGCCACATAAAGCAGCTGTCTGCTTGATATCACAGTAATCTATATATTTGTTTGTGGGTGTCAGTTTATATAGAATCCTCAACAAAATGGTTAATAGCCATAGCAGCAGGGACAGCTTCCTGGCCCTCTCCACACTGACTGTCCTCAGGCAAGGCAGGCCCTGGGAGCCGGCGTGGGGTGAGCTCCGAGTGGGAACGAGGCAGAGAAGGTGAGCCTTGGGCAGGAGGCATCTGGACGCCAGACAGGCTGCTCTGGCCTGGTCCCCGTCGGAGGGGCAGAGCAGGAGACATGAAGCTGGGGACCAGAGAGGAGGGGCAGAGAGCAGCAGCTCAGGCGGGAAGGCAACACGTCTGACGGTGAGACTGGAAACTGTGACTCAGGTCTGCAGAAACGGACGCTGGGCCCGTGAGGAGCTGAGGAGCAGCAGGTTGGGAGCAGCTATAGGAGAGGCCAGGGTGGGAGACGGCGGAGGAGGAGGCACAGGCACCCCGACTGGAAGGCAGCTGCTCAGCCAGGGGGCCCCTCAGAGAAGGCGCCAGAGGCCGTGAAGAGAAGGGCTCGGACCTGTAGCCCCTGCGGTCCCCGCCTGGGGCGTGCACAGCTCTCCAGGGAGCTGGCCCTGCTCGGGTCTGAGTCCCCTCAGAGCTGGGCCAGGGCCTGGGTCCCCAGGGTGATGAAGTCAGAGCCGCTGGCAGAGAAAGGCGGGCCCACCAAAGCCAATACTGCCACTGTCTGGCCACCACTGCTCCCAGCCAAGCAGACCTGGCTCAGGACTCTTTCCAGGGTGCTCACAGAGGACCAGGCGAGGCGATGGAAGGGGCGGGGCAGCCCGAGGCTGGCGCCCGGGCACTGTTCCTTCCTGCGTGTGGCCATGGCCACTGCGGCAGCCTTTGAGGTGAGGAGGCTGCTGTGCCAGCAAGAAGTTTCGGAGCATCTGCAGGCCACACCCAGGAAGCTCTGGCTGCCATGGGCACCCTGAGCATGGCTGGCCCCGCCTGCTGAGAGCCAGTGTGCGGAGAAACCCTGCATGGGATCCTTTAGGGAACTGTTTTCAGCTGAGCTGACTTATAAACGGAACGAAGATGTGCCGGGTTTCCATGCCCTTAGCCTTGGGGTTGGGACATGCGAGGGCGGTGGCCTGGCAGGTGCAGTGGCTGGACTCGGACAGGACCGGCTCCTCGTTCTGTTCCCGCGGCTCCTCTGCTTCGGAGGGTGGGCTGGGCCGCGGAGACGGGTTGTCTCAGAGGAGCTTCTTCCTCTTCCGCTCTTGGCCACGCCCCGGCTCTGGGATGGCTTCTGTCTGGGCTCCTGGGAGATGGCCCACCACTCCCATGGCTGTTTCATGGGACTGAGGAGAGCCTCTCGGGTTCTGGGCGGCCCGCGTGTCACTGTGACCTCCCTCACGCTCACGCTCACGCTCACGCTCAGACGCAGCCTTCCCAGAGGGCACGGGACCTCTGGCGCTGGAACAGCTCTTCTTGACTGTTGGCTGCGGTGTGTTTCAGTTTGTGAAAACTCACCAAGCTATACATTTCATTATGTATATTTATGGCAATAACAAGCAAAACCAAACTTTTTTTGAATAGCATTTTTATCATAGTAAAATAAACATAAAATTTGCTATTTTAACCATTTTTAAGTGTGTTATCCAGTGGCATGAGTCCATTCACAGTGCTGTACAACTGTCACACCAGCCACTCCCAGAGCTTTTCCTTATCCCACACAGGCACTGTGCCCCCAAAACACTGACTCCCTGTCCTCCCCCCAGCCCCCGAAAACCCCTACGTTCTGTCTCTATGAATCTGCCTATTCTAGGTACCGTGTGTAAGTGGAATCATATAATATTTGTCCTTTTATTTCACTTAGCGTGATGCCCTGAAGGTATATCCATGTCTCAGCACATGTCAAAGTGCCATTTTTAAGGCTGAGTAGTCCACTGTGTGTACAGACCACGTGTCGGTGTCCATCACCTGCTGATGGACGTTAGGGTTGTTTCCATTGGGCTGTTTCGTTGATCACAGCCGTCCTAGTGGGTGTGAGTGGTGTGCTTTTGGTTTGCATTTCCCTCACAGCAAATGATATTGCGCACTTTTTTATGTGCTTAGTGGCCGTTTGTACATTTTCTTTGGAGAAATGTCTATTCAAATCCATTGCCTATTTTTGAAATGGGCTGTTTTTCTGTGTTGGGTTATAAGAATTCCCTATGTAGTTTAGACACCAAACCCTTATTGGATATGTGATTTCCAAATATTTTCCTTTATTTGTGAGTTGTCTTTGATGCACAAAAGCTTTTAATTTTGATGAAATTCAATTTGCCTGTTTTTTCTCTTGTTGTCCATGCTTTTGTTGTCATTTTCTAAAACAGCACTGCGCAAGCCCACACCAGGGACTGCTCCTCACCCTCCACCCTCGGGAGCCTCGCGGGGCTTGGGGACGGCCCTGTGTATTAGCCATGGCTTCTCTGCACGGCACCGCGCCTCCTCCCGCGGCCTGTTCCTCGGGAATCCTGGGGAGGAGGGGCTGCACCACTGAAAGGAGAGCAGCTGGGAGACAGGAGACCTTGCTTTTCCCCTGCGCCTGGGAGAAGTCACCTCCTTCCTCTGAGCCTCCATTGTCTCTTCTGTGACATGGTGTTGCCAGGGCAGGCTATGGGGTTCGTCCCCGCTGTCCACCTCCTATCTGGCCATACACGTGTGGATAGCATCCTGGTACACACACCCTTCAAAGGCCAGGCCCTTGGGCGAAATACGAATGAAAATTAGAATGCTAAAAAAGGGGACACTTACGTGGCTGATGACTTCCCGGGCAATTGTGTGGCCTGCAGGCGCCCAGAGCAGGAAGTTCAGGAGGAGGTGCCGGATCAGCTGCCCACAGGCCAGCGGCCTGGTGGCCCCGCCGGGGCGCTCTCCAGCTGCTGCCTGCAGATCCCTGGCCGACAGGGTCGGGCTCCTGAGCAGCTTCCTGAGGTGGCCGAGCACTGCTTTCACCTCTGCCTGGGGAGTGTCATTTCAAAGGGGAGAGGTTAGGAAGCGCTGGGACACTCACAGATCTAGGATCTATTTGGTACCTGGAGGCATCCCTCAGAGAGAGGAGGACCAGGGCCCGAGGGAGGGCGGAGGGAGGCCGCCCATGTCTGGGTTTCCACATCGCTCCAAACAAACCCAATGGGCGTAATGGAATTTTCTTGACTTTCTTTCGTCTTGCTCACTAAGCAGCTGGGCACCAGGCCAGGACCTGACCTTTTCTTGTATGAAAAGAAACAGAGAAAAGTCCTTAGCAGAATGCGGTCAGGTTTTATATTGTGGGGAAAGAACAAAAGGCTCCTTGAGGACTCGCTCACTATCACGGCCACAAATCAGCTGGAGCCCATGCGCCCAGACTCCGCCGGGCCTGTCTGGTGAGGAGCTGTTCCCCTTGCCATCTCTGGGCGCAGGGTGGGGGAGGACACACACACGCACACACACAGTTTTGTTCTAGACGCTGGACCATCTGTTCATACATGTTTAAAGCCCAAGCAGAGGTCACAAGTCTGTGGCATCCACACACTAAAGGTGATTGTTATAGGTCTGGGGTTGTTTTTGCATTAAAGTATTGATTTCATGCTGAGACTTCTGCATACTATGAGAATGGTACCTCAAGTTGTGACTTGGAAAAGAAGGAAAAAACGGATAGCCATGGACCCAAAATGCCACCTAGAACTCATCAACAGCTAAGTTTCAAACGAAAGAATACTTAGGCCTATTCTGAGAATTCCCATGACCAATTTTATGGGTTTAGTGTGAGCCCCCTTTCTGGATGTTAAGGCTCCTTCAATGAAGGCTGTCATAAACTCCAGTACACAAGGTGCCGTGAGCGACCGTGACAATCCAAGACCGTGAGAAACCGCACCGGCTCTTCCCCGAGTGGCAGTGCCTGCGGGAGAGGCACTCTGGCCGCCTCCCTTCTGGTGGCTGCGCCCGGCCGCCCTGGGAGGTCTGCAGCACTGCCAGGACGCAGGAGCTCAGCCTTCGTGCCTGCCTCCTTGCTGGCACCCCCATCCTAGCCTGGCTTCCCCAATGCCTTTCTGACATCCCCAAACGAAGCTTTCTAATTGTTTCGGGAGAAAGAGATAAACTTTCCTTTCTAAGTATTGCTTCTTATTTTGCATTATGAAAATTTATATATGCTCGCTGTAGAAAATCTAACAAAGAAGTAAAAAGAGAGAATTAAAATGACCTACCTATAACGCCACCAGCTAAAAAGACTCATTGTTAAAACTACGGTTATAGCCTCTTCATCCTTTCTCTATGCATTCATGCTTTTTCTACGCATCCGAACACAGCACTCACTGTCACAATAGTTTGTATCTTACGGTTTCTCTTCACAATGCACTTGAAGCAGCTCACCAGACCTACAGCACATATTCTTGGGGAACATGATTTTTCATGGTAGAATGCTACCCTGTAGTTGGAATATACCATAATATTTAGCCAGTATCCTTATTGTTGAAAGTTTAGGCCACTTCCAGTTTTTGCAATCAAAAACGATGCTGTGAGATTATTCTTGATGATTATATTTGTATGATCCCTGATTCCTTAGGGTAACTCCTAGGAACGGAACGACAGGGTTGGAGCATGAACCCCCCCTAATCCTAAGGGTAGACAAACACAGACCTCTCCTGTTTTTATCGTGACCAGGACCCTGGTGGCGGGAGTGCATCCCGGGCAGACAGTTACTCCTGCTTCTCGACCTTGAGCCTCCAGGACGGCCGGCAGCGGCAAGGCTCAGCCACAGGGCAGCACCTGCGACTTGTGCCTTCTAAGGCTCCATCGCTCTCAGCCACTGCGCTTTCAAAGGCGGTTCACAGTCTGTTTCCCAAGTCCCCGACCGCCTGACCATGGGAAGGATTAAACTCATGGAACCCAGGGGAGCAGGAGGCACGGCTACTAGTTAAAGGAGGGAAGTGGGGCCGCCCACTCCTGCCACGTCACACACACCAGCGCCTCCGGTGGGGCACCCAGGAGGAAGGGCTTCACTCCCCGGGGACGGGGCCCTGACAGCACAGCCAGGAAGGACACCGATGGAGCACCGCAGAGAAAACTACGTGTAGGTTTCAGTACGGAAAGGACCAAGCTAACGAGTAGAAAGATGTGCCAATGCAAAACTTTCTAGAAAGTAAATCTTATAGGACAGTTTATTTCTCCATGCTAAGTGAAATAAGCCAGTCAGAGAAAGATAAGTATCACATGATCTCACTCATATGTGGAATCTAATAAACAAAATAAACTAATGAACAAAATAGATCGAGAGACATAGAAGCATAGAACAGACTGCAGAATCTCAGAGGGAAGGTGGGGAGGGTGGGTGGGAAGAGATTAACCAAAGAACATACATGCATATATGCATAACCCACGGACACAGACAATAGGGTGGTGAAGGCCTGGGGAGGGTTGGGGGCTGAGTGAAAAACAGGGACATATGTAATACTGTCAACAGTAAAAAATAAAAAATAAAGTGAAACTCTTCTTATGACCAACATGGAATTTGACACAGAACCTACCAGCTTAGCTTACACAGAATAAAATAAAGTGTATATATAAAAGGGCTCCAGAAACCCATAGGGCTTCATATATTTTAATTATTATTAAAAATAAGATGATGAAAACAAATTAAAAATTTCCTTAATTAGTTTAATGTGATATTTTAAGAGGGAAGAAATAGGCTTTCTTTCTAATCAGATAGCAATCCTCAATTACATATGTGGTTTGTGTTAATTTCTAAATAGTGTTCTATTTTTTACCCAAAATATATTATCACCAAATTTCAGCTTTTTAAATCCCAAACTCTTTTCTCCCCACTGCATGCAAGCCTCTGACCAAGTCAAAGATCAGACGTCCCTGCCCCGTCTGCGATGCTCGAACGACAGAGGACATCAAGCAACGGCAGTGCGCTCCGCCTAATGAAACCTGCTCCCTTTAATTATTAAAATCAGCAAGAAGCGCTGGCAGTTGAAGTTTTAAAAACCAACAAATAAATGTTTGCGAGGCAGGTGCCAATGCCTTTCATCAAAGCACTGCTTCCTGCAATTATTATATTCCACATAAAAAACCACGCTGTTGCCACAGACCTTCGCCAGGCCTGTGTTTAGCTGCCCTGTCATTTAGGAAATGACCGAGGCCCTTTTCAGAAGCAAAGTGGTTAATAGCATGTGATTACTTAGTAAGGATTCTGAACAAAGCAGCCATGTGAGGACTGCTGACGGGCCCAGGAAAGCAGGAAGTGCAGACGGAAGCAGCACAGCCAGGCCGCTGGTCAGAGGACAGAGCTCCTCAGACGAGTGGCCAGACTCTGCCTGGCATCCCCTGGGCCAGGCGGCTGAGCCAGCACAGAGAGGAGGCCTGGCACAGCCTGCACTCCTCCCCTCGGTGCCGCCAGAGCAGAGGGTGGCGGCTGGACCCAGGAAAGCACCTCCCCCAGGGGACATCCAGGCGCTGCCACAGGGAACTGGGAGCACTCACACTGGGTACCTGGGGTTACTGGCAGCCAAGCCTCTTGCTGGGCCCCTTTCCGTAGGATCCTTCCAGCTCAGGAAAGACCCACCCTGGATGCCACCCACACTGCGTACCGCCACCCACCATGGTCTGTGCTCTCGGCTGACTCCCGTCACGTGGGCTGTAGGTGAATGCCAAGAGCCACAGCAAGGCCTCGGGGGGTTCAGCTCCTGACATCAGTAACTGCTCAGCCACCGTATCAGCCCATCCTCCAAAGTGAACGAACAAAAACCAGCTCTCAAAGGGGCCTCCGCAGGACCTGGAACAGAACCAGACACATGGCAGCCAGGCAACTTGGTTTCTTTCCCTTTTGGTTCTTAAGCAATGTAATGTTTGCGAACGGCCTGCTTACACTGTTCTTACCCGCTGAAGCACACAGGAGTACGAGTCAGCCTCAGAAAACCAGCTCCCGGGCCACCTGCACCCACCCAGGGCCCTCACAGGCATGCCCTAAGGCCCAGTGCCCGGAGAACCCAGACACCGACGTCCTCCCATCCAGGAACCGTGAGTGAGCGCAGCCCGCGGAGAAGGAAGGTTCTGGCCCGTGACAGCAGGAATGATGCAAGATGAGAACCTTCTGCCTGTGGAGCGGGCTCCCGGCCACAAGCAGCCCCGGGTGCCCCCAAGCGTAGAGCAGACCGAAGGGGCACAGGCAGAAACATGTGCTGCTGCTTTTCTGACAAACACAGGGCTCTGGGCGATACCCTGCAATTATGCATTTTTAATGAGCTGTGTGTGGCCTCCCTTTCTGTCAGCGCAGGTCTCAGAGCTGGGAGGTTCCAGCCTCCGTGAGTGTGAGGTGTGAGGCCATCCTTGGGCTCACTGAGAACTGGGCGCTGTGACAGCTGTTAAAGGGTAGAGTCAGCTCAAGGTGAGGACCCACAGTTCACAGGGGCAGCGTCAGCGGGTTAACAGCGCCCCTGGAAATCGGAGCGGGGCAGCCGGGGCCGTGCATTGAGAGCTCTCCTGGCTGCTGCTGAGGAAATGCTCTGAAGGCAGCTCCCAGGACAATGGAGCGAGAGGAAGGCAGCACTGTCTCACTCCTTCCCACGGGGAGACAGCTGCTCCCTGGTCCTGCTAGTGGTGGCTGCAGTATGTGGGCCGGTGCTCCCTGGTTCTGTTGTGGTGGCTGCAGTATGTGGGCCGGTGCTCCCTGGTCCTGCTAGTGGTGGCTGCAGTATGTGGGCAGGTGTTCCCTGGTCCTGCTAGTGGTGGCTGCAGTATGTGGGCCGGTGCTCCCTGGTCCTGCTAGTGGTGGCTGCAGTATGTGGGCAGCTGCTCCCTGGTCCTGCTAGTGGTGGCTGCAGTATGTGGGCAGGTGCTCCCTGGTCCTGCTAGTGGTGGCTGCAGTATGTGGGCAGCTGCTCCCTGGTCCTGCTAGTGGTGGCTGCAGTATGTGGGCAGCTGCTCCCTGGTCCTGCTAGTGGTGGCTGCAGTATGTGGGCCGGTGCTCCCTGGTCCTGCTAGTGGTGGCTGCAGTATGTGGGCAGCTGCTCCCTGGTCCTGCTAGTGGTGGCTGCAGTATGTGGGCAGCTGCTCCCTGGTCCTGCTAGTGGTGGCTGCAGTATGTGGGCAGCTGCTCCCTGGTCCTGCTAGTGGTGGCTGCAGTATGCGCCCAGAGCAAGGAAGATGCCCAGGGTCCCTCCCAGCAGACCTCCCGGGCAGTGAGCTGAGCAGGGGGCTCTCATGCTCCCTGCTCCCAGGTGGGCTGCACGCTCGGATCAGGCAGGCCTGCACTGCAGATACGGGCCGGGCCATTCTCCCTGTCTCCCACCAGCACCTATGCAAGGTAGTCCATGTGGGCTGAGAAAGTGCCAGCCTGGAAGGACCCTCCCTGCAGGTGGACCCCAAAGTCTAGGTCAGGCAGATCCAGGTGAGGCAGGCGTCTGGAAGTGTGGGCCCTGAGCTCTGCTCTTCAGCAGAGGCGACAGAACGGGTGCGGGGAGGGCCGCCAGGTGTGGCAGGCATTGCTGTGGCCACACTGGAATCCCTGCTTGGCCACCAGTCCTTGTCTCTTCTGTCGGGGAGTCTGGGTGGAGGGCAGGAGGGAGTGCTAGTCTCGGGAGTGACAGGAGCAGGGCAGGAGCACTGCGGGTCACCTGTGATGCTCAGTGACAGGTTACAGGGAATCCCGAGAGGGAAAACTGGCAAACGGTGCAAATAAAGGCAGCCTTGAAGGCTAGTGGAGACAATGAAAAAAATACACTCTAAAAGCCAGGAATTTAAGAGGAAGCTTAAGGGTGTTATGTTACAAAGAACTTAGAGCCTAAAGCGAATGCTTCTAGGACAATAACACATACAAGAAGGTACTTAATATCATAATGCTAGGGCGGATGTTTGCATTTTAGATGAGATACTTATTACAGAGGAGGAAAAGGAAACACTGCACCCGCGTGCAGGAGCCGTTTAGAACTCCTTCCTCGGGGAGAAGAAGAGCAGAGGACCAGAGAGGCCCCTCTGCACGGCAGGAGCCGGCAGCCGTGGGCAACGCTTTTCCTCTAGGATCTATTCTTTCTTGCTCACGCGTGTAGAAACCTTATGCTGCACGAGGCTTTACACATGCATGCGTGTGCTTACGTTTGGATGGTTGCAGACCGACAACGCCGTTCCATCGGCCCTGCTGAAGGGAAGGGAAGGGAAGGACCCGGGGAGACCACAGGTGAGGCCGACCTGGGGTTGTCAGTGTGTGCTTACCCGTGAGTCTGGTCTTCCACCGATTCTCTGAGCATTTCAGCAATACGCCTCAGTGGCTGGTGCCGCAGTCCCTGTGGGATGTCTGTGGGCGGAAGGAGAACAGAGGGGAACTGAAGACAAGTCAAGCTTACCGGGCGGAGTCCCTGCAGCTAGGCGGGAGGAGTTCGGGGGAAGGCCATCTTTTCTTCTGGCCAGTGGATCCCACCCCACGGCTCTCTGCTGTTCCCAGGGGAGAAAGATCCGTCAGTCACACAAGCTGCACCGCAGGGGCTGAACCCGGCCGGCCGTGGAGTCTGCAAAGCCCCCGCGCAGCCCGAGGCCCGGCAAGCCCTGCTGCGGAGGTCCAGGCTTTCTCTTTTCTGCCGACCTGTCCCCTCCTCGATCGCTAACAATGTGTGATTTCAAAATATGTGGAGACTAAAACACCGTCAAAAAGGAATTGGGCCTGGGCTGCCCAACTCTTGCTATGATTGTGATGAATTCAGAATATGATTACAGGGTATAGTAAAGAAAAGGCCAGGAAAATATATACAAACAAATGCCTTTTCTTGAGTTAGTTTTTCTGGTTTCACAATTATCCTGTGATTTTAAACACATCTGAGTCGGTATGTATCTGCAGTTTGAAACAACATCAGAAAAAGGTTACCATATTTGCATGTAGTGAAAGACTCTATAAGTAAATACATGAGAAAGATAACGTAAGTAACAGTAACCACTGCTGCTCCACAAATGTTTCAGATTAAAGGCTCATGTATTCTCTCCCTTCCTCCTCTGAACTCCCTGCTCCGGATGTGCAGCCTTTGACAGCGTTTTCAGTCTTCCTGTATTAGCTGTTTAGGTACTTTATGTCCTTCAACTCACAGCTCCTGAGAGTCAGGGCTCATCAGTGATCCATCTTTTATGCCCCACAGCACTTCACTGTGGGCATAAAATCAATTTCTGACAAATAGAAGATTCTACTATTAAAAACACTTCAATTTGTGAACATAGCGCTGTTGTTGTTTTTTCCCCCTAAAATATGCAGAAAACTGTTCTAGAAATTAGCATAGGAGGCTCTTGTACTTCTGCCTGAATTTACTTATTTTGGACATAAATCCAGGACAGTCACACCAAGGAAAAGGGAGTAGGCTGGGTCCAGGCCCGTGTGCCACCGGGATCTTTTGCTTACAGATTCCCTACGTAAAATGAACAACTCCAGTACTGTTCCTGGAGCTCATGGGCTTCTCACGCAGGCGGCCTGAGGCTGTGGTATCTGACTATAGCTGTGTGGTATAGCCCTGGAAGGTGAATCACTGACTTTTCTGTCTTGTTATTAGTCTTCCCATCGTGTTTCCACAGGTTACATTTCACAAAACTGTTCCCAGAGATCCGGCAGGCCCATCCCCACCTCCAGCTCCAGCCTCTGAGGAGACAGTGTCAGATGGGTCACCTTGGATGAGGATCTACCTCTTTTAGAAAAAAGGAAGAGGAAGCCCGACTTTATAAAATGCTGTGAAACTCTGAAACATCTACTGTCCTTAAATGAATGTACTTACGCGAGTCTCAGGGAAAAGGGCCAAAATGGCGGGAAAAGGAAGTGTTACGGATTCTTTTGTTCTTCCCTGTCTCTCCCTCCCACCGGCAGATGAGATGCCTTCTCCAGCACGCTGCGCCTGCGCTGCCTCTCCCTCAGATTTCAGGCTTTACTCTACTGAAATGTTTGCTAAACATGAGCTCACAGGCGCCTTAAGGACCAACACCAGTTGACTTAAGGATGGAACCATCACTTCCCCAGCTGGTGAGGCCTCTGGGAGAGGGAGTCAGAGAAGGCTGTGGTCTGACGCTCCCCGAATTCCTCCCAGGCCTCCCTGGCTTGGTTAGGAGAAATTTCCCCCAAATTTCCTTGGCTTCATTCGTCCTTTTATCTTTCCTTTTCCAACAAGGGGGATAGAGTAGAACGAACGAAATACAAATAAATGCACTGTTGTATTCTAACTCAGCCAAGTCTTAGCTTGTTCCTGGCATCTAGGTGGGCCTGGCTGGCACCAGAGGACTGTGGTATCCGGGGCAGACTATCAAAACTTAACAAGAGGCCCTTTTTTCTTATGCTGTTTTCTTTCTTTTGGTAAATGATCCTAACAGGGAAGTCAAGCAACTTGTCATGTCAAAGTCCACAGACTGAGAGACCCTGAGCGCAGACTGGGCGCTGAGATGAGGGTCCCTCTCCCTTGTTTCCTAGGGAGGGAGGGGAGGGGGGGTGCTCCCGAAACCACACCATACCTTTCGGGTGCTGGAGTAGCGCCATGACCAGAGACGGAGGAGCGTAAGGAAAGTAGGTCTTGAGTGCAAACTTCAGCTGCAATAGAATAAAAAATTCAAAACCGCATGAACATCAGGACTGGAAGGAGTGTTAAGAAAATACAAAGGCTCGCATCCTCTGCCCCAAAAGGACCCACTAGTACTAACGTGGTCAAAATGTTTTTCTTTTATTTAAAAAAAAAAGATGCTCCCAGCAATCCTGTAAATATATTCTAGAAAAATAAATCTTTTAAAGAAGCCATCTGGGGCTTAAGGAAAATAAAGTTCTGCTCCTGATGTGTTTATGTAAGTTCTTTACCTCACATGGGCCTGATTATACACAGGACTCTTCTATGTAAGTGAGTCTCCAAGGCAGTCAAGACGGTGTTTCACCGCCATCACCACGGAGGCACAGAAGCTCCACGAGACTTTTGTAAAAAGTGGAGGTGAAATCTAGACAGTGAAGTGCACGGGCGTTAAGGGTACGAAGTGGCAAGCTGTGGTCAATGTGTGAACCACTGTGACCACCACTCCCAGTGGGACCTGACCTTCCTGTCCCCCAACGGTGCCCTGTGGCTGTGACAGGCAACCTTCCACCTGCCCTCGCAACCAGCACTGATTTCAATGAGAGATTAGTTTTGCTTATTCTTGAATTTCATATAAACAGAATCATAAGTATACATATTCTTTTGTGTCTGGCTTCTTTGGCTCAACATGTCTTTTTGAGGTTCATCCATGTTATTGTATGTAAGTAGTTCATTATGTTTTTTATTGCTTAGAAGCAGTCATTGTACGAATATGCCATAATCTGTTTATTCATTCTCCTATTGCTGGGCATGTGGGTTGTTCCCAGTTTGGAACTATTATGAATAAAGTTGTGATTTACACTCATATTTATGTCTTTCTGTGGACAAGGGCTTTCATTTTTGTTGGGTAAATACTACAGGAGTGGAGTTGCTGGGTCACAGAATAGATGCTATTTAAGTTTATAGGAAACTGTCATACAGTTTCCCCCATGGCTGCACCATGCCCCCCGCAACCCCCCCCCCCCCGGCAGTTTATGAGAACTCTGCTGCCCCGCTCCCTCCCGATACTTGGCATTGGCCACTGAGTCAGGCAGGAGGCAACCAACTGATGCGTCTCTCTCACATCAGTGTTTCTCTCTCTCCCCCTCCCTTCCACTCTCTCTAAAAACCAATTGAAAAATCTGCTCAGGTGTGGAGTAACAACAACAACAAAAAACAAATATTTCCCCCGGAGTTTATGCTTTCACGTGTGGGAGATAGCCCGGTACATCATTAGATCCTGCCACCACTAGATCCAGAACCTGAACTGATTTGCTGTGTGCACCGAGCTTTATTCAAGCGCAGAAAGGAGAAGCAGTGAAATAAACATGCCCGACAATGGGAAGAATGGGGTTAATGTTTCTTATAAACTGCTGGGGGGAGAGGAGTGAAAGTGATTTGGAGTATCTACAGAAGCAGGCCTTTGTATTCCTAACAGCCAGCACTTCCGCTCCTAAGCATATACCCGAGAATGTTCAGAGCAACACTGTTGGTAAGAGAAAACGAGATCTGGAAACCACCCGCAAGCCCACGCCCAGGAAATGGCTACACTGGGCATCCCCCTTGAGCACACAGCAGCACCTGCCGGCGCATCCTTCAGAAAGCCACCTTGGTAACAGCTGAGTGAAAAATGCAAAGCTCCAAAGACTGCAAACAGTAGCTACTCTTGTTTGCTGGTTGTTTTATAAAGTTCAACAACAAGCACAAGTAAAGAAAACATGGTTTAGGGAATCATATCTATGTGACCAGACTATTTTTGGAAAAAGCAAAGGAATGGTAAACATAAATTCAAGATAGTGGTTCCCTGGGGGGAGACAGGCAGGGCAATTGGCTAGAGCCAATCGTGGACCACTGGTGGTCCGTGAGGTCCGAAAGGTTGGCGACGCTGAGCTAGAGGAGGAGCACACGGACATGGCTGATTCCAATTAATCCAGGTCTTGTTTGGGTGTCAGGTTCATAGATACTCATTTTATTAAGAATGAATATGTGACTGAACAAAGGAACACAGAAAGAAGAGGGTGATGCATGGAACACCCAGGACAAAGGATACTATGCATCAAGGATCATGATTAATCTAAAAATGGACACACAAGAAGGCAGGGCATCCATGATGATAAAGGCTATCAATTAGAAAGGCAGGCACTCAGGAATAGCCCTGCAAAGAGAAATGATATAATACACGTATATGTAGCCATTTGCAAAGGTAAGAGGTCATTGTCCTCTGGTTCTGAGTCAAAGGTGAGGGTGATGAATTACTGTCTTTTTGGATCCCTGCTCTGCCCTGCAGTAGGACTCAGTGTGCCCGCACCACCAGATACATGTAACCTGGTCAGGGTACTGTTCTAAATTAAAAGTGACAGAAATAAAACGAACAATCTTAAAATTGGTATGGAACCTCACAAGACCCTAAATAGCCAAAGCAATCTTGAGAAAAAACAACAAAGCAAGAGTTATCATGCTCCCTGACTTCAAACTTGATTACAAAGCTATAGTGAGCTTAAGTATGGAACTGGCATAAAAACAGACACACAGATCAATGTAACAGAATCAAGATCCCAGAAATAAACACACGCATATATGGTCAATTAATTGACAACAAAGGAGCCACGAATATAAAATGTGAAAAGGACAGTCTCTTCAATAAATGGTGGTGGGAAAACTAAGCAGCCATATGCAAAAGAATGAAGCTGGACCACTATTCTACACTATATGCAAATATTAACTCAATATTTTTGTTCCCTGGCTCCATAAGCACAGGGAACAAAAGCAAAAATAAACAAGTGGGACTACATCAAACTAGAACACTTCTACATAGCAAAATGCTTCTACACCATCAACAAAATGAAAAGGCAGCCTACTGAAATGGGAGGAAATATCTGAAAAACATATATCTGATAAGGGATTAACATCCAAAATATATGAAGAACTGATATAACTCAATAGAAAAGAACCTCAAACAATCTGATTAAAAAACGGGCAGAGTAACTGAATAGACATTTTTCCAAAGAAAACATGCTGATGCCAACAGGTACAGGAAAAGAAGTTCAGCATCATTAGTTATTAGGGAAATGCAAATCACACCACAATGAGATATCCCCTCATACCTGTTAGAATTTCTATCATAAAAAAGACAAGAAATAACAAATACTGGCAAGGATGTTGGCTCAGCGGATAGAGCGTCACTGTTAGTGGGAATGTAAATTGGTGCAGCCTCTATGGAAAACAGTATGGAGGTTCCTCAAAGAGTTAAAAATACAATTACCATATGATCCAGCAATCCCACTCCTGGGTATTTATCTGACAAAAATTAAAATACTAATTCAAAAAGACATATGCACCCCGCCCCCCCCCCCGCCCCCCCGTGTTCACGGCAGCATTATTTGCAATATCTAAGATATGGAAACAACCTAAGTGTCCATCAGTGGATGAATGGATAAAGAAAATGTGGTGTGTGTGTGTGTGTGTGTGTGTGTAGAATGGAGTATTATTCAGCCATTAAGAATGAAATTCTGCCATTTGTGACAACATGGGTGAGCCCCGAGGGTATTATGCTCAGTGAAATGACCAAGCTCACAGATAAAGAGAACAGACTGGTGGTTGATAGAGTGGGGGTAGGGGGTGGGGGAAATCAGTAAAGGAAGTCAAAAGGTACAAACTTCCAGCTACAAAATAAGGAAGTCATGGGGATGTAATGTGCAGATGTAGTATACAGTTTACAAGACTATACTGCATGTTTGAAAATTGCTAAGACTGTAGATCTTAAAAGTTCTCCTCACAAGAAAAGAAAATTTGTAAGTATATTTGGTGACAAGTTACCTTGACTTATTGTGGAGATCATCTCACAGTATATATAAATATTTCATCATTATGTTTTACACCTGCAACTAGTAGAATGTCAATTAAACCTCAATAAAAAATATAGAAAAATAAATAAATTAATTAAAAGCAACTGCAAATCGAGTCCAAATCCGTAGTGCCCAAGGCCAGCACTCAGGAGGAGCAAAGCAGATAAGAAAACCAGACTCGCGCTAACACGACAGAGCAACACGTCTCTCAGTCTCGCCCCACCGAGGTGTGCTCCACCAGGCGAGGGAGAAGTTTTCTAGTGGCTGGGAAGTGACAGAATGTACCAGGGAGGAGAAAAGATATTCACAGTTATGCCTCAAACTAAGTACGAGGGCCAGCCAGTCAGTGCCTTTCCGCAGACCTCCCAAATCCCAAGCCGGGCACCAATGACAAGGCTGTTTGCTGCAGTCTAGCTAACTTTCCTAGGGAAAAAGATGATGGGAAAAGATACATCAGAAATACTTGTCATTGCCTCAAACAACAATGATAAACCTGAGCGCTAGGTCCAAGTGCTGGAAGCATCAGGGACCGGACGGCCTCCCTCCGGGAAGCAGGCCCAGGTCCTTGAACAGGCGGAACGCCACACAGAAGCACAGCTGGTAAAATGCCCAAAGGCGAGAGCCCTCAGGCGGAGAGGGCCCTGTTTCCAGGGTCACTCACTGGTCAGCGGTCCTGGCCAGCGTGCCTGGTCTCTGTGGATGGAGCCCTGCAGAGCAGGTCTTCCTGCAGGCCCTGGGCCTGGCTCCTTGCTTGCCGATGTGTCTGACTCCCACCCCTTCGTCCAGCCATTTCTAGCTCCTCCCCTACAATTATTCAAGTCTTCCCTTATCACCCTCACTACTTCCTTTCTCTCTTGGAATCCACATTTGGGTCTCAATGGAATGGAAACTCTAATAATTAAGAATGTCCAGAACTGCTTTGTAGTAAGTGGCATTCCTTCTTAGCACATGCCGTATAGACCCCAGAATGCCTCTTGCTGGCCTGGGAGGGGTGGAGTCTGCTGGGCAGACAGCTCGCGCAGGGTGGCACGGCAGGGCTCTGCCACACAGTGAGTAAATGCTTCTGGGCGCAGGGCCGACAGGAACTACCTTGTTACTTTCAATTAAAACTAGAGGTCCGGTGCACGACATTCGTGCACTTGGGAGGGAGGGGGGTCCCTCAGCCCTGCCTGTGCCCTTTTGCAGTCTGGGAGCCCTCGGGGGATGTCCAACTGATGGCTTAGGCCTGCACCCCATGGGTGAATGGTGCTCCCCTTGTGGGAGTGCATTGACCACCAGGGGGCAGCTCCTGCATCCAGCGTCTTAATGCATCATAGCGACCAACTGTTTGGCAGTTTGGTCGATTTGCATATTACCCTTTTATTATATAGGATAGTTTTACCTTTGCTGGGCATACACTTGAAAGCTTTCTTTATGAGCAAACTGTCTTATCAAAGTCACTGAAAATAAAATGCTCCTTTCTGGTGAGGAGCCACATCCTCTGAGCAGCCTTCCTTTCTTTGGGTAAATGAATAATCTGTGCAGGATAACGAACCTGGTTGTCTTCTTTTTCCAGAGCTTCTACAAAGCAGCACGTAAACACTTGAAGGGTGGCCAGCACCTCTGGGGCTCCGTCGGTTTCCAGGAGCGCGTACCTGAGTGGGCAATGGCGGGGCACAGGCATGGAATGGGGATGTGCTAACACGCGAGCCTAAACTGTGGAGGGGAGAGTGGAGACACTTCTGGGCCATTCGCTGCAGCAGCATCTCCCTCCCCGGCGGCAGTGCCTGTGTGGAAGCAGGAGAATCTCTCCCCCTTTTCTAAAGGCTGGAACGTGCAGCATTCGCCGCCTGCGTTTTTACATCATTAAGCCTGCACATCCTTCCCACACAGGCCTGGGTGCGCTTTGCAAGCATGTGCACACTGTATGCCCAGACACGCAGCAGCAACTGGCCTTTTGCTTTTTCAAGTGGAGAAAGAGCTGCCCAAGGGGGAAATGGCTGCAACAAATCCATCCACCCACGTGGCGGGAGACTGCGTGGAGCTGGTTTCTTTCCATACAACCAACTTTTCTTATGTGTAAACAGAAAAGCAGCCCAAACTCTGCTAGCTCTAAACTAAGAACAGCATCCCGGGCGGAGGGAGGACGGAGCGGGCTGGAAGAGGTTAATGGGGGAAATGGAGAACCTATGTAATATTTTCAACAATGAAGACTAAAAGAAAATAAAAAGAAAAACAGCATCCTGACTTATTTCTATGCTTATTTAGCTTAAAGCTGGTATGTCGCGGTTATTTGCTGGGTTATTTGCTGTGTGAACATTCCTTTCCCAGGGTCTGCTGCTCTGCGGCTGAGCGTGTGGGTGGGGAGGAGGGCTGGCACCTGGGCCAGCTGCCCCGCGGAAGCTGGAGACCCTTCCTGAGACCAGCTCCCAGAGAGGCCGTCCCCACAGCTGCAGCATCCCCCAACCTGTGTCTAGTGCAGTGATGGCGAACCTTTTGAGCTCGGCGTGTCAGCATTTTGAAAAACCCTAACTTAACTCTGGTGCCGTGTCACATATAGAAATTTTTTGATATGTGCAACCATAGTAAAACAAAGATTTATATTTTTGATATTTATTTTATATATTTAAATGCCATTTAACAAAGAAAAATCAACCAAAAAATGAATTCACGTGTCACCTCTGACACGCGTGTCATAGGTTCGCCATCACTGGTCTAGTGCATCCTCTCTCGGCACCTGTGAATCACTGCACTTCCAGGAAGTACTTTGGTTTGCCCGATAAAAATCAACGTGTATAAGATAACTCACATAGCTGATTTTAACTTTCAGAAGAGCTCTGTTAAGAAAGCATTTATTACTTATTCTTCTTGTTTTTCCTTAGCTTAAAAAATCCCTTAAAAAGATTGGTCAGCCCTCGTGTGGTGAAGGGAGCACACTGCTACACTTTCTTTTGAGCTGAGAAAAGTGCTACGAGTATTTATTTAAAATCTAGTTCAACTCTTTTCTACCATTATTATTAGAATTCTAAAAGGGTAAATAAAGAAGATTATCTTAATTCTTAAGCATTGTCTTTTAAATTTACACTGACATTTGGGTTTGACCAAAAAGCTCAGAGGGTAAGATGGGATCAGAAACTAATTACCCCATGACACACCCAGAGATCACCCCAGAATGTTTTTATTTATATTTGGAAATTAAGCATTTTTAAACCAATTATTAGCAGAAATAGCGCAACATTTACCTGAACATTTCATCAACAATTCTGAAGATGGCAGGGTGGCAGGCTGCTTGGGGCTGGAGGAAAGACCAGGAGACAGTAAAACATCAGAAGCATTTCATCAGTAACATCCAGCTATTATCAGGCAAAGGAGTTGTTGGAACTGCTGGTGCCTAGAAAATGGGCCCAGTCCTTTGGGTTAGAAGAAATGGACAAAACCCTGCACACAAATGCAAACAGTGGTTCTCCTTGGGCAAGGGGGTACAGGCATGCTTTACTTTCTCTTCGGGTTCAGGTATGCCCCACATTTTCTGCAATAAGCCCCTATGATCCAGAAGAAAGGAGCCAGTATCGTGGACAAACGTAAAACACTTCCTACCAGCACGCTGCAGTGAGGACACGGAGCTACCTGTGCAGCCAGTGTTGGTAACGAGTCTGACCTCACAGGGCCTAGAACAGTGATGGCGAACCTTTTGAGCTCGGCGTGTCAGCATTTTGAAAAACCCTAACTTAACTCTGGTACCGTGTCACATATAGAAATTTTTTGATATTTGCAACCATAGTAAAACGAAGACTTATATTTTTGATATTTATTTTATATATGTAAATGCCATTTAACAAAGAAAAATCAACCAAAAAAATGAGTTCGCGTGTCACCTCTGACACGTGTGTCATAGGTTCGCCATCACTGGCCTAGAAGGACCTCCAGGTCAGACCTGGGCGGGCTCTTCCCGTTCCCGCCTATTAGGTGCTGAGGTCACCATGGTTTCATACCGAGGAAAGCAGTGACCACTGCCATGATGGACTAAGTAATGTCATAGCTCAGTGCACCATGAATGCAGCAGTTTAAATTATTTAGGATGAAAAGAGGGTTAATACAAAATTTAACATACCATCATCTCAAATGACGGAAGTGATCTAATTTATTCCCTAAATATTTTTGTGACAGTTTTGATGGTTTAAACGTGGCCTAGGTGAGGCATTAGCAGGCCTGACCCAGGTTCTGTATCTTCCTGGGCAGACATCAGAGCATGAGATTAGGCCAGATGAAATGTCACTTGTGTTCTAAATCAGGTATTCGTAGTAGCACCCAGTGTTAGTGGGTTAGGCTCTGCAGGGCATTTCCTGGTGTCACAGTTTGCATGATATGACTAGTTTTGGGAAATATCTTTCTCATACCCCACCTGCCCCAAGAGAAAAAGAAGGGTGTGCTTCATCCCTCAAGCTTTCTGATCACGCCGAGGAGAGAATGGTGCCTATCCCCAGCCTTTCTTTTTTATTTTTTATTTTTTAAATCTTTAATTTATTTATTGGTTAAGGTATTACAAATGTGTCCTCATGCCCCCATTAACCCCCAATTCCCCCCCCACACACACACACACTCATGCTCTCACCCCCCTGTTGTCTGTGTCCATTGGTTTGGCTTATATGCATGCATACAAGTTCTTTGGTTGATCTCCCCCCCTTATCCCCACCTTCCCCTACTTTCCCTCTGGGGATTGACAGTCTGATCGCTGTTTCTCTGTCTCTGGATCTGTCCCTGTTCATCAGTCTATGTTCTCTATATTCCACAAATGAGTGAGATCATGTGGTATTTATCCTTCTCTGACTGGCTTATTTCACTTAGCATAATGCTCTCCAGTTCCATCCATG